ACATAAATTAACTTCTCAACAAGAATTAATACCATCAATAATACCATATTCTGCCATATTACACCAATTAGAAATACAAACATTCATACAACAAGAATCTCCATATCAAATGTTTCATTTTCAATATCAATCATCAACGAATTTTCAAAAAGATATTGCTCAACAAATTTCATCATTTGATTCTATTGATTCAATAAACCATCAAATTTTACAAACTGAAATTAATTATTTACAAAAACAATATGATGAAGCGAGTGTTATTGGTGATTTTACTCAACAATTAGCTGCTGAGTACATTATTTCAAATAAACTTCAAATGATTGAATCTTTTCAAGAACAAGACAAATCACAAAAAGATAGTCAAATAGAAATTCAAATTTCTTCCACAATCGATAATCAACAATCAGTTGAATATAAAAAATCTAAAACTTCAATAAAATCATCAACTATCAATGAAAAATCTCTTGATACAAATCAAATTAATGAACAAATACATGAACTTTTGAACAATTATGATACAATTTTACAAAAACATATAAAAAATGATCAAGCAGAACTTTCTAAAATACAAACTGATATTGATCAAATAGAAATTCAAACAGATAAATTATCGTCTGCTCATATAGAACAAGAATCAAATAAAATAATGCATCAACAAACGATTGATACTATTGAAGATCTTCAACAATTAAGTATACTTGTAAAACAAAAAGATAAAATTCCTCTCCTAATTCATAATAATTTAGAAACATCTCTTGAAAAATTTCAACAAGAAAATAATCGTGAAAAACAAATTGATGTACAACTTCAAATCTTAGATAAAATCGATCAATTAGATAATCAATTCATTAATCATAAAACATTAGAAAATCTTCGTAAACATCTTCATGAAGAACAAAAACAACAACAAGGTTCAATAATTCTTTCATCAAATACACAAATACATAGTGATACTCATATTCAAATTATACCTGTTCCAACTCATCTATCAAAATCACCAACAATGACGATTGTCGAAGAAAAACAAATTAAAAATATTTCACATCAAACAACAATCAAACCTACTATTAGTGAATTAATACCAAAGATTGATTCAGTCGAACAAACTAATCTTTCATTAGTCACAACTAATGCAAAAGAATTATATCAAGAATTACAAAAAATGAAATATTCAATTGAAATGGTTTTTGAAAATACTCAACAAGTATCAGATATTGTAGATGTTAAAGTTCCATCAGTAAGTGTTGTAGAGTAAAACATTCTATTAGATATAATTTGATATTTCTAGAGAATTTCATTGCCAATGAAAATAGGTGTAGCAATCGAACATGATGAAGAATATCACACAACTGATACTATTCATAAAATTCGTGTACCTAGTCAAAGTCGTTTGCAATCAAATTCTATTATAGCCATGAATAGTTCTTTATTTCCTAGAAATAATATCGTTGATACAAATAATATATCTTCATCTAAAATAGTTGATATGCCAAATAATTCTGAACATCAATCATCACCATTAACAATAGTCGGAAATGTTGAGAAATATTCAATTATTCAAAGAAAATCTAAAGATCGAAAAATTGCTACCTCAACACAACGATCTATTCCTCAATCGAAACGAGAATATGGAGAAGTTTATATTCGACATCGAGTAAAATCTTTTATATTCAATATTTGATGAAGGAGTTATAAAGAAAAGGTTATAGTGAAATTTTCAGCACAATATTGTCATGTTTTCATGAAATAACTTTCAAACAACGATTGAGAATAGTTAATAGGTCAAACCTAACATTCTCTATGATTGTTCATTATCAGTGTGTTACGCAGTATAGAGGTCAAATCCACATTCACTTTTCGGAAGCAACGAAGGTCTAAAAATATGTCTGTTGATTTCTACCTGCAATCGAATGTATTTTTTTTTTCATCTAAGTTTAAATTAAAATCAAATAATTTATTATACACTTGTTTGATAAATATCTCATGAAAACATAATGTTATCGAGTCGTTTAGAAAATTTCATGCGATGTAAAGGGGAAGGACTTAAACATGTTTTAAATATTGATAGTTTGTTGATGTTAACTCACCAAAATCAAACACTGATGAACAACGAGCAAAAGATGAAGAAAAATTTCGTGAAAAAATCAAACGAAAAACACGTTTAGTTCAACTTGAAAAAATAAAACAAGGTAATACTGTTATTCATCACCGAGTAGATTTATCAAAACATGTTTTACTTGTTCCACAACGAGCAACTTATGAAGAAAATCTCGAACCAATACCACCATTAATTCATGTAAAAGATACAACTAATTTTTCATTCAATGAAATGAACATTGCTCCATTAAAATCTAAAAGATCATTACCACTAGTATCAGCATCTGATACAAATAATAAATCTTTCGATGTCAATACAATTGATCATCAGAGACAAAAATCTGAAATGAAATTATCATCTTATTCTACAACTATTCTTTCTCCTGTTCAAGAAGAATCAGAAGAAATTCAGACATCCGAAGATATACCATTTACTAATATAACAAATAAAATTAATGAATTAATAACTTTTGATAATAATGAAAAATTAAAATCTCTTCATGAAATACCTTTAAATTTGTCGATTACTGTTCCATCAGATATTATTCCATCTATAGAAGAAACATTACAACAACAAATTGATGAAAATAAACAAGTAATATTATGAATTGAGTATAAAGATAAAATATTTTCTCTTTTTATATCAAGGTTACAGTATCTTATTCTTCTTTACTCAATGATCTTTCATCAAGAATGAGTATTTCTCAAAGAAAAGATTCAATTATATCTCAATCATCAAAAGGACAAAAAATTCATAAACAGAAATCTTTGAAAAAAAAACGTCAATCAGTTATTATCAAACAAATTGAAGCTATTGAACTTGTTCCAACAATCAACGATGAATCTCTTTCTACTCAAGTTTTTAATATTGAACAAGAAAATCAAGAAATTCAATCTCCTATTTCAATTACATCCGAAAGTAAAGTTATCTATCATAAAGTTGGGGGTAAAATGAAGAAGAAAAAGAAAAAGAAAAAGAAAAAAGGTAAAAAAATCAAACAAACAAATATTAATGATACAAGAATAAAAAAGAAAGAGAAAAAGATTGAAACAAAATTTCAAGAAGAACCACTAATAGTAATTCCACGTAAAGCCGTTCCATTTATTTCTGCTACTCAAGACAAACAAATTGATGTTGAAGATGATCCTGTCATTAAATATAAAAAGAAGAAACGAAAACGTTCATGTAAGATTTTGTTTTTTTATAGTAAAACAGGTTTTAGAGAAAATTTTCTTCCAATTTTTTTTTCGATTGATGAAGAAGATCAGCAGACTTTTTAAAAACATCAAATCAGAACGAATATATCTCCGTTTAAGCTTTATTTTCAGACCTTTCTCTAACCTATGAGTCAAAGAACAATTCTTAACTAAGATTCGGAAAGAACATAAAATTCTTATTTTCGTTCAATGTTTTACAAATTCTTCTAGCCTTATTAATCGATCGAAAAACTGAGAGCTCCAAAATGTTGTCAATAAGCATTTTTGATCCACCCGCTATATTTTATTGTACTTTATTTTTGTCTATAATCAAAATCTTCAATTTTTTAGCGAAATCTACTCATAAATATTCTCGATCTCGATCATCAAGCAAAAGTAAATCGAAAACTAGAAGAAAAACTAAAAGTAAAAATCGATCAAAAAAAAAGTTAAACATAGAAGAAAATATTCAAATTGAATCAAAATCAATTAACAATCAAGATGCTATTGCAATGCATTTACTTAATGTAAAACGTTTTACAATTCCACCTATATCTGCTATTAATTTTGATCAAACACGTCATAAGTATAATGATAATATTGAAATAAAAAATGAAAAATTTGAACAATCACGTTTACATTTACTTAAACCAATGATAAAAAATTTTGAACTTGATAATAATTTTCAAAAACACAATAAAGAAATTCAAAATATTGATGCATATGATCTTGATAAAGAATTATTTGATTTTAATAATGATACAAAAGAAATTGATCAACCAGCTATGTTTTCAGAATATATTCGTAAGTAATTCAATTTAACAAAAAGCAAAATCTTTGGTTAAATTATTTGATTTTATATCTAGCTGAATTTTTTCAAAAACAAGCAGAAGAAAAACAAATTCGTCGTATTTCATTAACAGCAATAAAAACAGATGAAGATTTTATTAAACGTCTTGCTCCAAGAGTATCACATTTATACAATGGATGGCAACCAAGTGATACAAGTAAGAAAAATAAAACTAACGATAAAAGTGTTTCAACTGATTTCAAGCTTTTAAATTTATTTTTTGACTATAAATAGATTTTAGGGAAAATAAAAAAATCCTTAAAAACATTTCACTCATATATGATTTTAATAATATCATTTTAATCTTAAATAAAATTATGAGATTGAAATAGAATTATGAAATTAGTATTACTTATCAGATTTCTAAATGGATACATTCTGAAAGTTTTCAACATTGTCATTTCTATATCAATTAACAATGCCACTCAATTGTCTTTCCTTCATGTCTGATTTAAGTCTTATACCATTTTGTTTTCTTCTTTGATTCATTAAAAAAAAAACTTATTAAATACTAGTTTCTATATTGTTATAACTTTTGAAATTTCTTAATTCAGTCTTGCTAAAGATTTTAGAATTGGATGACTTTTAATTCTAAATTATTAGCAAGATCAATGAACGATAATTTGAAAAAAAAACGTTTCTTTCTTGTCACAACGTTCAATGACACGTCATGAACAAACAGTCTTAAAGTTTTCCTAGTGTCCGTGATGAGGAAAATCTTCCTAATGAAAAGACAACATTCATTATGTAGAACCAAATGAGCTATGAATATCCTGTAAACAGTTCAGATCCCTACCTTACTGCCGATGAGATAATGCACTTTTTACGATAGCTTTTAAATAAGGACTACAACCCACCTCAGAAATATCAGAAAAACTGATTCTCGAATTTCGACTTGAAACTCAAGTATAGTACAAGCTTGTCTTTTGTACTGCTCGAATATATCAGCGAATTTGATATTCTTATGTCATAATAAAAGAAAATCGAAAGATATGAAACTTTCGCAGTAAACTATTCTTGTTCAAGTTTATTTCTGTACTAATTTTCAAGTCAAAATTCGAAAACCAGTTTTTCTGAAGGCAACTACATCATTCATTTAGAAAATATCATTAAAAGATAGTAGCTAATGCGTAAGGACTCTTATAACACATGATATTTACTATCTTATTATTCTATTAGTATTTAAATATATTGATAAATTAATTTTAGTTTGTGCACATACAGATGAATTTCATCCATTAAATAAATATCTTATGTCAGATATATCATATTATTTTGATGATGACTTCATTGATGAATCAGGTTTATTTCAAAATCAAAGAAATTTAGATAAGTATGTATTTAAATTCAATTATTTAATAATAGAATATTGATATTTTTCTAGAATGGAATCTCGAATTAAACAACCTACTCAACGTTTTCGTGATGATTATATTGTTAAAGAATTTTTTCATTGTTGGAAAGATTATACTGTTGAACAAGCTCGTATAGCTGAATTAAGACGAAGACGTATTACAATTGATTTTCGTGAATTTTGGTTTCAAGATGCTATTTCTGATTCATTCTATTCTTATTTTGAACAACCATTAGATTATATTAAAAAACAAGATAATCATCATCAAATGGCATATCGTTTACATAAACGTCTTGTACGTACAGGTCGTGAACAACCAAAAGAAACAATGAATAATATAAATCGTTCATCATTTTTACCTATGCTATTTAATTTACCAAAAAATAATCTTGATCGACAAATATCTCTTAGTCGACGTCGTCAATTAATTAATTATGATAATAATGATAATAAAAATTATTTTATATCCTTATCAAATTTAATAACACATAATGATGAAATTTTATCATTAATACGTGAACGTATTCATTTTTTAAATCGTACTAAAACTTATATTAATATACATCGTGATGAATTAGCTATTAAAGAGCTTTTATTAAATAGTTCATTATTACAACGAGGTACAATTAAAGATTTAGATAAATTAATTATTGATTATTATGCATCTATTGAACAACAAAATATAAAAACTTTATCAAAATCTTCAAGTAGTATTGTTAAATTACCTATGTTGAGACCATCACCACTCATCTATAAATCAAATTCAAAATTATCTCGACAATCAATGACTATTTCACAATAAATAATATATAAACACTTATTTTTTCATTATTCTAATTAAATTTAAAATTGTAACAGTATTTATTTCGTAGTTTAGTTCAATAAAAAAAGGAATCGAACGTAATAGATCACTCAGAATAAATAGTGGGCTGATTATTTCTTTTATATTTCAGTTCGTTTTCAGAGTTTTGGGCTGAATTTTATAACGATATCGGTTGTTCTTTTTTTCTTTAGTTGAAACTAGGGGTACGCAAGCTCAGCTCAAGCTCACAAATAATGAGCCGTTAAAAACGCTCACTGAGACGAACTGAACTGTTCGAACAGCTCATTTGAACGAACCGAACTTTTCAAACAGCTCATTCCACATGAGCTGAACTGTTAGAACAGCTCATTTGAACGAACCGAACTTTTCAAACAGCTCATTTCATATGAGCTGAACTTTTAGAACAGCTCATTCGAACGAACTGAGCTTTTTGTAGGCGTACCCATAGGTCCTCAAGTCCTATTCTTGAAAAACAATTTTTTTTTTAAATTTTTTTTTAATGCAGAAAACGACTTTTTGAGAAAAAATAAATTTTTTTGAGTACACCCAAAATTTTGTGAAAAAAAAATTTTTTTGAAAAAAATTTATTTTTTCTCAAAATGTCTGTTACTTCATAAAAAAAATTTTTTCACAAAATTTTGGGTGTTCCCAGAAAAATTTATTTTTTCTCAAAAAGTCTGTTTCTGCATTAAAAAAAAAATTTGTTTTCAAAAATAGGACTTGAGGACCTATGGGTACGCCTATAAAAAGTTCAGTTCGTTCAAATGAGCTGTTCTAACAGTTCAGCTCATGTGGAATGAGCTGTTTGAAAAGTTCGGTTCGTTCAAATGAGCTGTTCGAACAGTTCTTTCGTCCATTTGAACGGAGCTCATGAGCTGAGCTTGCGTACCCCTAGTCATGTTTCAAGCGTCATCTATTCATCGTTGTCTAGCGTTGGTTGATAGTAGATAAATGTAAAAAGAGAAGAGAGAAGAATAAGTAAACTAGATAAATAAGTGTAACATTCATTTTGCCCATTTTACCTTATCATTGTAATATATACGACGCGCGTCATACCTGGGAGAGCATTTGATCAAATAAAGCTGTTTATTGTGAGAAAAACCTTGTTGAAAAAGAATGAGTGGCCCTGGTCCGTGCTGTGTTGATCCTGGTGCTAAACAAAGCCACACTGCTCAAGGTGTTGAAGAAACAATAGGAGGGCTTAAAACCTACAAAACAGGTGAAGGAAAATCAGCCATTGTTATTTTTACTGATATCTTTGGCTATTCTTTCATAAATACACGAAAAATAGCGGATACTTTTGCTCAATCGACGGGGACAACAGTTCTCGTTCCTGATCTCTTTGAAGGAGATTCCTTGGATCCAAATACATCAAGATCCGATTTACTCGAAAAAATACCAACTTGGCTACCTAAACATCCTGTTGATAAAGCATGCCTAGTTGTTGACAAATACATGTCGACTATTAAAGGTCATTATGATTCTATTCAGGTAAATATTTATATCGATATTTATCTGTATAAATAAAGACTTTTTTTTAGACCATAGGTTATTGTTACGGTGCAAAAATAGTGGTACATTTGATCATTCATCCTGAATTGTCCTCAGCGGTGAAAGCAGGTGCTGTTGCTCATCCAACATTTTTGGTTAACGAAGAGGCTGAACAAATAAAGAGACCAATTCTGTTTCAATGTGCAGAAACTGATGAAAGATTTCCACAAGATATGCGACAACATTTCGAAAAAACTTTATCTCCAACAGGTTTGGCAACATTCATTGATTATCCTGGAACTGTTCACGGATTTGTCATTCGACCGGGTGATGCTCCAGAAATCATTCAACAAAGAGACAACGCTGTTCAAGATGCTATACAATTTTTCAAAAAGAACCTTTAAATTCTTCCTTTGATTTCATAGATTTTTATAGAGTATTACATTGCAAAAGTTTATATCGGCATTATTCTATCGATATTTCAAATTTCAACTAATACATAGAATTCTGCGGATATATCTACTTGCTAAGAAAATAGTTCCATGTATCACTTTCTCAACATTTATTCATTCACAGTTAAAAGATGAGCCTCATTATTACTTTACGGGTTTTCGATATCAATCTCATTGAACATAATTTGCCTTCAAGGATTCCGCGAGGTGAATATCAAAATTATACATACACGGTTGAAAATAATTACTCGACGACAAAAGTTTCACCTGTACTGAAATGAATATTTTAATATTATTTTGATGTATGAGAATAGAATGTAACACGTATATATACAGAGAGATTCGAGACTTTTACGCAGCACATAGTAGATATAGAAGTGTTTGCTTCCTCTTTGAGCGAGCAAAGTAAAATTATGTGAATACATACATTTTTGGATCACTTGTTAAGAGATGAGACGGATGATGTGAAGTGAGTTCGAGTTTATAACTTTTGACCATTCAGAGGGAAGAACTTTGGCTACTTTTCGTCGACCGGCAATACCAAGAATACTGAGCGCAAAATTTCGAATTGTAATTGGTTCACCAGAAACCTGTCAGCTTGAAACTTCGGTCTCATATCACAGGATCCATCTCATTTCTCAACAAATGATCCAAAATGATGTGTGGGGTGTGGGTGTCGGCGTGAGTGTGGGTGTGGATGCTACATATGTCATCAAACAAACTTCCACCCACCCACACCCACCGCTTATTTCAACCTGATATGCACTTGTATATGCTTTTCTATTAATTAATTTTTTAACTTCACGTTAGATCTACCGTATGTCCAATATTCTTGTCGTTTTTGTGCTGTCGCTGTCTGTATTTGAAATATATAATTTGACGAGAAAATCTTCATTTTCAGATGTCCTTATGTTCTTTTTCATTCAAAATAATATTTAATTCGTAGAAAAATACAAATTTCGGATTATTCGATCTTTTTATGATTAATCGAGGAAAAATAAAACAAAAGCTGGAAATAATAATTTTAGAGTTAAGTAAAATGTGAAAAATCTGAAACTTAATGCGTCGTAAATTTTCGTTTCAACATGTAAAAAACAATTTCATAAAAAAATTAAATATCAAAATATTGATAAAATAGCTTCATTAATAACGTATGGCAAATGAAATAGTATGAACACTTTTTAAATACTTCTAGTTTTGCATGATAAAATAAATAAACATGTTTGAAAAATTGAAGAACTAGCTCACATAAAATTCATTGATTCATCATCGTTGTAAAATTTATTCGGAAACGTTCGCAAAAAAACTGCAGTTATCTGTGGCAGATATTCCTTCTTCTGAGCTTATATCCCATTATATGCGGTTTTGATGATCTGATAAGCAATATATGAAGAACCAAAACCAACGATAATCAAGTTCAGGAATAATAATGGTTATTCGATTGAACTCTATTATCAGAGACTTTTTCGTATTAAAAGATAAAATTGCAATGAATTTGGATAACATGACATTTTTTTTAGCTATAAACTTTTTGTTTTGATTGTCCATGAAAAAATTATGAGAATGAAAAATTCAATAAGATCATTAAAAAATAAACAATGCATGATAATAACAAAATAAATAAAACAAGAGTTTTTCATACTTCTTCATCTCAACGACATTCTCACACAATTGGTTGTATTTCATAAAATGAAAAGAAAAAAGAAGTATTCGTTCATCAAATTTATTCAATAAGAATAGAGAAAGGCAAGGTAGCACACACTCTTATTTTAATGACAGCTATCTCGTAAAACATTGATTCAGATGGATATTAGGTTATATTTATCTAGAAAGAAAAACTTCACAAAATAAATATATGTGAAAACAAAAAAGAAGAGAGAGTATGTCGAAGTTTGTGAAAAAATCATACAAACAGCCCGAAGTTCTAGTTGGTTGAGAAGTAGTAACAGACACTAGAGCAGTGTATATATCGGATGTTGGCACCGGAGCCTATAAAAGAAACAGCCGCACTCATTTCAGGCCTACATCTAGATCCCATACGGTAGAGAGAAAAAAAACAGCAGCTTTCAGAAATTATTTTTTTCAGAATCTATATTTGTCTTTCGGAATTTTAGGTATTTCTTACTACTTCAAACCATTTTGAGACTTAAGATTGTCAATGTTTTTGTTTTTACAAAATTTGTTTTGTACATTTATTTTGTGAAGTTTCTTTTTTTTAAATAAATATAATCTAATGCTTATCTGAATCAGTATATTTGTCGAAATACCTGTTATTAAAATAAGTGTGTGCGCCACCTTTCGTTCCTCTATTCGTATTGAACGAATTCAATGAGCAAATGCATTTGTTTTTCTTCGATCAATGGAGAATTCCTTCCCTGTACAGTATCTGATTAGTATAGTATGTGATCTGGTGATAAAAACCAGAATGAGAAACACTAATCAATGTTGAACACAATGTTCACTAGTGCACTTTGGTGAAACTCACTTTTAAGCCTACATTTTACAATAAATAAAGCAAAAAAAACACTAACATCGACTATGTATACTATTAATTTCTTCTGAAAAACTAAAACTTCGGATTTATAGGCGAAAACTATGAAGTTGATTTTTGTGACATCTAACGCTGCACAATTTTTTATGCATTTTCCGCTGTGCCAACACTGTAGTGTAGCGCCCTCAACTGGATGAAACTAATTTTATTTAAGAAGTAAAAGCGCAGTTTGAAATAGAATTTATTTTAAAGTATTTCTATCATATTTTATCTTCTGACTATTCATAAAAACCAGATAGTGCATTTTTGGCATTCATTCGATGATTTATGCACATGTGATTATACACTAGGACTTTTCCAACCGAACTTGCTTGCGTTATACATATATAGGATAAATAATACTACTTGATGAAAATATCAGTTGGAAAGGAGAATTTGATAAAATATATTTTATTCCTTATAATTTAAAAACTTACTGTTTGAAACAGCAAATAAAATTCAAAGAATCGTTTACCAATCTGAAAACTGTCTTGGATCTTGTTTTT